AATGTCCAATATGTTACAAATTGATTTCTATTGAAATTTTTTTTCCTTTATATCAATTTTATGGGAAAAAAATTGAATTCGTGGATAATTTGTTATAAAAATGCTATTTTTCTACATATATCAGATAAGATAATTTTTTTAGTAGTTACAAAAATATTTTTTTATAATTACTTTTAAAACTGAAATTTTTTTGTTGAATTTTTAAAATTATGGACTTTTGTATATATTTTTTTTTAAAGGTCAAGCTGTAAATTGCCTTTTGTAGAGAGTTACAGTCACTCTCTATATTGTCAATGTTCTAACAAATATATCTGCTTCTCTTTTTAATTGATTAATTAACCTTCTGTACTTTGATATTATAATCATACAATATTTTCTTGAACTACTTTCATTTTAACTTAAAATAAATTATAAATAAAATATTATTTTGCACTATTTTTTTTTTATTATAACTACATTAAAGTAATTATATTTTCTTTTTTATTTAATTTAATAAAAATTAATTACGATATGCTATTTTCACATGACTATTAATATTTTTCCAAATATTTACGTATTTCAAATATTATTTAACTTATATGGAATGACGTAACATTGCGGTAATAGTAATATATTGAATAGAATATTAATTAGAATAAGACCAATTAGTATAAGTAATAGCACTAACACGGATATATATCGATTTTAAATTTAAAAAACTAAATAAAAATAAAAATTGAAACTAAAAATAATGTTATGATGAAGATGTTGAAAAAGATAAATATATATATATATATAGAATATTAATGACAGAAAAATAAAATATTATAGTGAAAAGATAAATATTTAATAACTTTAGTAAAATAATTTAAATTATAATGTTTATATTTAATTTGTTGTTTTTAAACGGCAATTGAAACGGGTAGAAAATTCGGTATCCTATCCTTGGTTGCCTGGTTTTGGATTAAAGTCCAGCGACCGCGGAGATAAGGGAACAATTTAATTGCCCACTCACTTCACCATGGCAGCTCTTCTCTCCTCTTCAAATCCTCTCGTTGGTGCCGCTACGCCTCCTCTCTACTCTCTTTCCTCGTCCTTTAAGGTATTCTTTTCTCTCTCACTACTTACTTGGCTATATCCGATTCCAGTTTTATGATCATAATTACTTTAATTTCAGGGCAATGTGAGATTTTTAAGAGCAACCCCATCTCAAATTTGTGCTCTTAAATTTCACCCTGGCGGAAAACAACAACAATGGCCACGACCAGCAACACCATTCATTGTGTTAAATCAAGCATCTTCTTCACCCGTAGAAGCTTCTTCGGGTTCCATTGTGAGGTTTAGGCTTGATAATCTGGGGCCTCAACCAGGCTCGAGGAAGAAGGCGAAGAGAAAGGGTAGAGGTATATCAGCAGGACAAGGGGCCAGCTGTGGGTTCGGGATGAGAGGCCAGAAATCCCGGTCTGGCCCCGGAGTCATGAAGGGCTTCGAGGGTGGTCAAATGCCACTCTATCGCCGCATCCCTAAACTGAGAGGAATTGCTGGAGGTAAACCATAGTGCTGTGCTTTGTGGTCTTTGGTTCTTCGCAAATCGTTTACATCTTTTATGGGCATGAATTTCCTCATTTATCTTTTTTTTTTTAATGTTTTGGTTCTTCGAAAATCATTTACATGATCCATGTGCGATTAAGTGTTTGATAGAAGTAATTCGTTATTTTCTGCTCCTCTTGTCATCTTGAGCATGTATAATCGTTGTAGTGACGGCTGCTTCGTTTGTTTGATATTGAACTCAACTCAAATTATTTTCGAATATGGCCTTAATGAACAGTGATAATATGTAATATGTTTGGATGGATTTTTGACATTGCATTTTTCTTCGAAAGCATTATAAACTTTAAATTGGCTGTACCAAATGAAATCTTGTCATTCTGAATTAGATGTGACGAAGCTGTGATTTTCTTAAATCTCAATTATTCATCATATTTCTACCCTGTGATATGCACATGTCCTGGCTACTCACTTACACTATGTCCGGATTGAGGTAAGCGGTCGTGTTGAAAAGGCTGGAACGTTCGTCTTCCTTTTTTATTAGTGAAAAGAGGGAACAACGGTAACTCCTCCCTTTCCCGTTAAAAAGTATGTTTTGAAATTTTTTTGTAAAAGAATAGAGAAAAAAAAGGAAATGAAAGGCAAATTGTAGTTTTAGAAGAAAGAAAATGAAATATATTTCTCTTTTTTGGATAGCTAAAAATTGAAGAATTAAGAAAGGAAATGACCGTTTTGAGTATTTTCTTTTATTTAACTTTAGAATGAAAAGGAAATTATTATTTATAAATAATAAAAAAAAAAATAGTTGATAATATCCTCTAGTAATAGAATGAAAAGTTAGATAGCGAGGATAAAACAGAAAATTCTCCCTAAAAATTTCCAGTCTCTTGTCTTTCCCTTTCTTTCCCCCCAGTTTGGAGGAATAGAAAACTTGGAGTTTCAAGGGAAATGGAGTACAAGGTCAAAATGCCAGAATGGTATGAAAATTGCAAAATTGTTCCCATGAAGCTCAATCTTTTACTGGGTGAATCCTGCATTATGAAATGAAACAATATAATATTTTTTTATTTCCTGACATCCAGCATTTGAAGAGGTCAAACCAATGGAGTCACCAGAATAGTACTTAGTGGTCTGTGCAGTTCTGTAGTTCTTGCTTGACCACCTCTTGCACTTACAGAATTGCAAAAATTCTTAATGATACTATTACCTTGTTGTGATGAATTAATGCCCTTATTTGGTACCTAGGGCCGAGGTGACCTTGTTTGGTGCATACGACCGAGGTGAGGAAAGTATGTTATAGCAGTCTGTACTTGTGTCTGGAATTGTTCTCTGCTTCTCTTTTTCGATATCAGCATATTGAATCTATATATCAGCTGTAGCTATATATCTTTTCTTCTAGACTTATTTAAAAGATGTACTGATGTCCTCTTTTCTTTCTGTATACAAGGTATGCATGCGGGTTTACCTAAATATATACCTGTTAACCTAAAACACATAGAAGCAGCAGGCTTTCAAGATGGAGATGAAGTGTCACTGGAAACTTTAAAGCAAAAGGGTTTGATCAATCCATCAGGAAGAGAAAGGAAACTTCCTTTAAAGGTAAAGATAACATTTGGCATTTGCTTGACTGGTGACAACGATAGAAGGTCAGGTCAAAGTTCCTGTGGTCAACTGCATGATTTTGTCTCTTAGAGGAAAGAATTTGTTGCCCAAATTATTCTCACTTAGTTGCTAATTTGCATCTACGCTATCCATAATCTTGGCAAAACTTGATTTTGCCTTCTTCCTCTACCCCTAATAGGAGGGGCCAAAAAGGCTTAGATTATGCTTACAGTTATTGGGTATCCATCCTGCGTACATTGATATGGCAGCTAATTCTAAGATTATCTGGATCATGATTTATCTTCTGTTCCCATCAACTTTATTGAAAGCCGTTTTTCAGGTCTGTGTTTACTAAAAACCCAGGCCTGTGTGATTCAATTCAATTTCTTAGTCCATTTAGTTACCATATTATATATGAGATTTACATATGATAGATGGAAAGATTGACCTTAGTATAATGCTTCTATCTTGAGGCTAAAATGGGTACAGGGAAATTTATTGTTTACTCGGCAATGTAACAGGGTAGCTTGCTTATATATTACGTTCATCATCATCAAATGCTTCATGTCCTATAGAACCCTTTTCTCCAATTCTGCTTAAAATTATGTCTGAGACGCATCTTATTGGATTAGTAAAATGTACAACACAGACCGCCGACTGCTATTTCAGGTTGAAATTTGTCCAAATTTGTCCAAATTTGTCCAAATTTGGGGTCTAAAACATGCTTGCTGTCTTTACCAGGGGATTTCTTATTGTTCTTAAGCTTGGAACCACTAGCTGTATGGTCTCAATTGACAGACAAAAGCTTTTATTTATCTTTAATTTCATGAAGAAAATGATTTGTCTGTTTAAATCAATGAATTGAGTTCTTCTATGTCTACCTGTCTTTCCTTCTTTATTATGTTCTGAATATCTTGTCTATCCTTCCAAAGGTAAATGGACAGCACAACAGGCGGATTAGGTGAAGAAGTTGTCTCAATCGTGTTTTGTGGTCACCTGCTTAAATATGGCAGTTTTTGAAAATGATAATAAGTTGAAGAAAAGTATACTTATACTAATGATAGTAGATACAAGAAAAGGATACTCATATTTTAGCGGCACTAATAATATAGGAGAAAAGTTAGTTATATTTTTTGCATAAGAAAAGTACAGTTTTTCAATTCAAATTTGTCTCTAATGATTTGTTTATTTCCAATTGGATTCAGATTCTTGGCGATGGGGAACTAAGTGTGAAACTGAACTTCAAAGCTCGTGCCTTTTCAACTTCAGCAAAGGAAAAGCTCGAGGTTGCAGGCTGTTCGCTCACTGTACTACCCGGCCGAAAGAAATGGGTAAAGCCATCGGTTGCGAAAAACCTTGCACGAGCTGAAGAATACTTTGCCAAGAAAAAGGCTGGAGCTGCGTCATCTGAACCTGCTTCTGCTTGACTTGTTTTAACCTCTTCACAGCATGTAAGATAGCAAATGAAGAAACTAAAGGGTGTGGAAAGGAAGGAAAAAAACCCTTTTTCTCCCCTCTATTTTAATTTTGGTCAATTCTCATTTTGCTTCTTTTAAGTTCAAAGTTCCTGAATATTTTTCTTCTAAATACATGCAAAATTAGAGATACCAATTCCCTCATTGGCTGGTTAGCACGAGAAAGTGTAACAAGCAGAAATAGAGCACATGGATCCTATGGCTACTTCAACTTGCGTATATTTTAGGCCCAAAGGAAAAAGATGCTACCCCTTTTAAGCCCACTAAGAAGATGCAGCGAGTGGCAATTCCAACCACACATTATAGACAGACACCAGGTAGTCGAATGTATCTTTTCAATGACTGGATTTGCAAATGGCCACCACCGAGAAAATGCCCATGTAGAATATGGGGATAGCCAATAAACAGGGTTATATCAACATCATCATTACTTTTTACTTGCTTCTCCTCGATATCGGTAGTATGATGATAAGTATAAATTTGCTGCGCGACGCAATACCTTTGCAGAGTTCGTGTTCTATAAGGCGTCATGCTCAATTTGGTCAAGCGGTGGTGGGACAAGGAGGTTCCTTATTTATTTTGTTTTGGATTTATTCCTTTCTTTTTCCATAGAGACCAAAATGATTAAGCAGAGATTTTGTTGTTTGAAGTCTTTGTTTTTTTTTAACTCAAACATAATTGTGTCACCTACTGGAATTACTTGTTTTTACATTTATTTACTTTCCCAGCCTTAAACAGTGAATCTTTCATCCAAATTTAGTTAAAAGTGGAAAAGTTGTTCTGGTGTTTCTTGGTCACACGTGTATTAGTTTGGGGTTAAAAACCCTCAAGTGCCACATATCCATGCTTCTGGAAATCAGCCACCCTTCCGTTGGGAAGGGAGTTTTATTATTTATAAATAGAATATAGTTTGCATTTGGCATCCGGGTAGTTAGAACGGACAAAATATTTGCCTTGCTATATATATATATTGGATGAAAATTCCATTATTTTTATTGAGAGATTGATGAGAAAGAAAACAAGTTAAGAAAAGTAATGGAAAATTGTAAGCAGTCATCTTTGTAGCACAAGTAGATCGTGGTTCTACTCTTAATTATTAAAATTTTATTATCCATCTCTAACCCCCCTACTCAGCTTTATCCTTCCCCTAAAATGTCAAAATATCTATCACATACCGAGTGATTAAATTGCAGAATATATATTTAATAGTGAGAGAGACTCTCAAGATGCATGCAACTTTGTGCTCGCAACTTATTAGTTATTCTTTCTTTATATTCATTTATTTTTCTGATAAAATAATTTCCTTAAAAACAATTTTAATGTTAGGCTATTTAAGAATATATATATTTTGATGTTACATATTTTTTTAGATAAATTAGGTAGAACATGATTATTGTTAATATAGTTTTAAGAAAAATTTACTTATTGGAGTAAAAGAGGCGAAGAAATGGGAATAGAAATTCCGAGGGCCCAATGGCAAACAAAGTAAACTTTTCTTCAAAGAAAAATCAATATATTTATGAAATCTAATACATCCAGAAATATTAAATTGCATCAAAATCAAAAGCAAAATGGAATATGTGATATGCCTGAACAATAAATTTATGGGGGAAAACGTGATTTTCAAATATCCATTTTAGTTTTATCATTTAAATCTAATTTTTGTTTTAATTATATTTTTCTTATAATAAAATAATAAATAATTTATTATATTAAGTCTCAAAATTTAACATTTATTATACTATAATTTATTAAAAAATGAATTAAATTTTTAAGTATTAATTTAATAATTTACTATATAAAAAAATAAATGGTCAATAAATTATTAAATATTCCAACTTAGAAAAGGAGGAAGCATCTTGGTATACTTCTGTTTAAACAATTCTCATGTTCTTGTTGTTATTATGTTTATAAATTTCAATTAAAAATTATTATACAGTTTACTTTAGATTATTAAGCATGTCAAAATTTTACTAATTATTTTACCAGTTCACAGTATGTTGTCTAAAATATCATCACCTACCATATATATACAGGCAATGGATTACTTAAGGAAAAAAAAAAAAAAGCTATCACCTTTGCTTTTTGCAAGATGCATCTACTTTTCACACCCTTCCACGCTACTACTTATATCATTACCGCATTTAATAGAGTGAATGACAA